GAGGGCTCAACAGTAATGAAAGTCTAAAAATCAACCTAGATTTAGCAGAAGAACTCAAAGAAGATGCAGCAGTCTAAGCTAAAGCATGCAGACAGAGGATGCAAAGATACTTCAATAGGCGAGTGCGAAGCAGGCAGTTTAAAGAAGGAGATAAGGTATTATAAAATGCGGAGATAACAAAGGGCTCGACAGGAGTAGGCAAATTGGGACAGAATTAGGAAGGCCTGTATGAAATTATAAAAAAGCTAAGTCCAACCACATATAAGCTCAGAAAGATTAATGGAACCGAGCTACCTCGAACATGGAACGCAAACAAATTAAAGAAAGCATATTGTATTTCCATTCAATAAAATGTAAGGTAGTTTTAGAATGAAATAATAAAGAAGATCTCAACTTTTTTCACTTAATATATCATGTCTCATATAGATTAGAAAGGCATGATATATTAAGTTTTTCCTGGAAGATCTTAATTAGAAAAATATTTCAAAACTCTTATACTTCTTTTCCTAACCATATCCATCAACTTCTTTTCCTAACCATATCCATCACCTAAACCATATCACATCACTTTCAGACTTCAGCAGATCCAATCAAGTATCAAACTTTAGCAGTACCACCAAAATCAGGACTTAAGCAATCCATCAGTTTAGGACTTTTAGCAGTCCATTAGTTGGGATATTAAAGCGATCATCAAGTTGGACATTTAAACGATTCCATCAGTTTGGAACTTATATAAACAATCACATCAGCTTGGAACTATAGACTTTAACAATACCATCAGCCTTGACATAACCAATCACATCAGGCTTGGACTTGAGCAGTCATTTACAGCCTCAGACAATTTAGCAGGTCCATTACAGCAGATGCGCTTTTATAAAAATCCAATTAAGCGAGGAAACTTAAAAAGTGCCTCCACTTAATGGACTTAATAACCACAAAAAAGAAGTAGACTTTGAAAACAGACTATATGTTAATTTCGACATAACACTCCTCTTTATCTATTTGATTTAGACAACATATTTTATTCCAAATGATGAAAAAATAACCACTATCAGTTCGCCAAGTACTCAACAGACATTACACATTAATGATTTCAGTTGTGGCTTTATTGGAAGACATTATAACACCAACACTATAAATAGGTAATATAGGATATTTCATTAAAACAAAACAAATAAGATGGTCACAACAAAGATGATATTTAAAGGATACTGCTACAACTAAAGTTGCATAAAGTTCACAATAAAAATCTAACACCTCCCCCTTCCAAAAGTAGTCCACATTTTGAGCCCTATCCACAGCACATTCGAGGGATTTTGGGTACCCATCGGTATGTATCAGGTATCAGATCAACCAAGGATCTCAGAAGGGATCCATAGTGAGCTCGGATAGAGAATGGAGAAGGAGGAATCTTCTGACACAACACCATCACCAAATAAACTTGCCTTCTTCTTATCTTCCTTCATCATCAGGGTACACCTTGTCAAACCCAGCTCTAGTACTTTGTTCGGATCTCAGAGCCTTATTAATTACAATCCATAATTTTAGCACCTAAGGTCAGGACAAGCCTTGGCTAGATCCTCCTCCACGAGCTCTCTTGAGCCCGGAGCCTTTGGAATCTCATTACTCAACTCTTATTTATTTAGCCTACCAGCCTTGATCTTTTCAAAGCTTAGAGGCTATAGATTCCTCTTGAAGTTTTTCATGTTCGGCATCCGAAACAACAACATATGACCTAATGTACTGTAGACTCCTACTCCTACATGCGCAGAGTTTAGACTCTTCAAACCTTCCTCCTACCATCTATTAATGTATGCACACTATTTAAATTATTTAATACGAGAGCATATAAGCTAAGGTTTGTTAATACATTTAAGATGCCTAGAAGAGAACTCTAGTTGGACAAAGGAAATCCCTACATATCGCCAGAATCATCCAAACAATCATAACTAAATGAAGATCACACGGAAGAAAAAGAACAAATTGGGATATTACTAAACAATAGCATAGGTATAGTCATTTGACAGACCATACAGTCATTACGGTCAATGATCCTTCTTCAAATAGGTATCGGATAATCTTAGGCCTATTAGGCCAGATTAAAGAAAGGAGAGAGAGGAGGAATATGAAACACAGTACAATTCAATACAGGCCTCTTCCTACGTCAGTATGAAAGGACTATGTAGACAATATAACTCAAATTATGAAGACAGACTCACGGAACACACACAGCAGAATATATACTGATCAGAAGGAATCAGATATCTCAGAGAGAGTACCCACATTAATACCAATACATACCACGCATATCAGGCCATATCATAATACATCGCACCAGCTAATTTTATAGACCATCATTAGAAGCCTTGCAACTATAATATATAAGAGCTACATTGCACTAAGAAGACATAGACTAGAGAAGAAAGATATAGAGAGCCACCATTTAACAGAAGGCTAAACAATATACTAAGAGATTAGAGAGGATTCGAATCATACAATGAGAGACCCAGACATAGAAGAAGATAACTGGAGAATAACACCTTTTGACAGTCACTTTCCTCAGGTTCATAGATCTTCAAACCCCCTAGCTTTTATCCAATTTCACCACATATCGACCCTTCAGGGGTAGGCAAAGTTGGGAGACAATGTGTTGGGTCATTTAACCACTGTCGGTACCTCGAACCCACTTGGATGTCCGAACTCGTGAAAAACTTTATTTCCAATTTTTCAAAGGAAGAAATTTGACTATTTAGAGAAGATGCTACATTATTTCTTCACTTAAAGGAAACAGTTGGTCTTTGTTTAACTCTTGATATGTTAGACGCATAGAGTTCGCTTCCACCCCTCGAGCTGTAAGAACCGTCCCATCTTAGCAAGCCAACTCCACTATACCACATAAGAAATCTTACACCATTATGGTGGAGTTGTCTGATGGGTGAATTGCCGTATTCACTGAAAAAAGATTCAGAGCCTCGGCATAGAGGTAGCCAAACCCCCTTGATTGGAAGGTCCTCCTCGTATAGCAATAATGGACTCCTAGTCTAGCGGTTTTCATTTGCTCTCATATTACTCTTAAAGGGGTGAGCCAAAAACTTAATACTCTAGCGTGATGTTGTACATGGAAAATACATCAAGAAGGCTCACCCTCATCGAATATCAAAGGGAACGTTGGCCGATTCTAATATTCTCCCTTCTACCTTTTAGCTTCACCAACCCCAGATTCAACGGCTTTATCTTCAGACTGCTTAATAAAAAACTTAAACGTCTCATCGCTAGGTGAACCCATGATTCTTGCCCAAAAGTAAATAAAAAGTAATACAAAAAAGCTATAGAACTTACTAGAGAGGAGAAATTTAAGTTCTTTTAGAGAGAGAACGCTCTGTATTTGGAAAGCTTGAGAGTGAAGCAACATGAGCAAGGTGGAAAGGCCTTATATTTAGGCAAGGCAGGAGTACCCAAAGGTCAACTACATTTTAATGAAGTAGATTTCTTGACTACCCCTCAAACGAAATGGAACTATCTTTTTCTAAATAACGTCTGCAGACCAAAAAAAGACAAACAACAACAAAACAAAGCATATACCATATTTGCACAAAAATGGACAAATAATTAAAGGGGAACTTACTAATTTAATATACAATGATAAAATAAATAAAGAATTAATATAAAAAAGATATTAGACTTCCTAAATAAACTCTAATTAACAAAATAAGCTAAGATTCCTACTATCAACTTATCTAACGATAATTATTTCTCCGTTTAATATAAATATTTCACAATTCACTTCAATCTTCAATTTCTGCAGACGCTTAAACAAATTTAATATATATTATATATATATAATGATGAGATAGATAGATAGATAGATAAATAGATGATAGAATAGATAAATAAGAGGAACAATCATTCTTCTTGGACTCTATATTTCTCCATATTAGGAATAACATTTGAGTCTATGTAATGTTAAGTATGTTTGAGCATAAAGCCCAAAGAACCCGCGTCATTATGCAAGGTAACAACAATTAAGGAAACTTTTTTTTCTATTCATTATTTGAGAGGCCAAATGAGTTAAAATAGCATGTGGTAAGATACAATGATAGGGCTATAAGTCTCTTTCAGCATTACCAAATAGGTGGAAAAATCCTTTATTAGTTAGAAGAGATCTCAAATCTTAGTAATTTTCCCACCTACCCCATGCTCTAATATTAGAAGGTTGAGAGGACCAGCTAGACCACTCTTTTTTTTTTTTTTTTTTTTGACCGAGAGAATTAAAAAATTTTAATTTTGTTATAGATTGATTATTTATAAGGTTAGGTTGCACTGTGGTAGTATGCACATATCAACAAGTTACATAATTAGCATATGACCCTAAGGATGATTATGCAAAATGGTAAATAGTTGTCTATAGTGGTTTATATCCATATATCACGTAATCAGACAATAGGTAATTGTTATTTGAAAAAACGATAACCTTTTATTATCGTACATGAAATAAGGTTGAAATTCACTCTTAACAAAATATGGTATTAGTATAGATGTAATTGTCCATATTGAACATATTTTGATGGAGCTACTCAAATAACAAGCTTTTTTTTTTTTTTACCATTGGTTGGCCCAAGCCCAAGTAAGCCCACATCTATATTTTCACCTCATCGGTTCTAACCTCTTACCCAGTTTACCTCTACCCTTTCAATTTGTAATACTTTTATTATCTTACATGAAATAAGATTGAAATTCACTCTTAATAGATTATGAGACTAGTATAGATGTAATTGTCCATATTGAACATATTATTAATGGAACTACTCAAATAACTTTTTTTTTGTGCAATGTGTAGTGATTTGTCCTACAACAATTTCACAACTCAAAGCACATGTCAAGAACGTAACATGTAAAAAACTTCAGTCTCATTATTCTCTCTTTCTTTATCTCTCTCTCACACACACATGGTAGCTAAATGATCAAATTTCTTGTTGCTTCCACAGAAACTTATTTGCGAGCTCCTTAATGGGCAATGTATCGTAAGTTTGTTTATTTTTTTTCTTCTTTTTTTGAGGATTTGAATCATATATATGTTTATATATTCATTTATTATTGCTTGTATTATTTTGCAGAAATACTGTTTCATGTTTAAGAAGCTTTGGTTGCCCAAAAAGTAAGTAAAGTTTTGTTTTTTTTTTATTATTTTGAACTTATAATTTTAAATTATAATTTAGAGCCTAGAATTAGGCCTGGGCTTATGGTTAAGTCCAACTATTACTAAAATAAGCAGAAATGAAAATAAGCAGAAATGGACATTGCCTAAAAGCCATAAAACTCATATGCCCTTTAACCTTTTAATTTCTATGGGCCTCGTTTATATATTGCACAACCTAAGAGGGAGAGTGAATTGGGTTTTCTAAAAATTTCACATTTTAAAAACACAAGATCAGAATACTGTTCTAGTGGAATTAGAAAGCGTTAGTAAGGATCAGTTATCAAGTTTAGAACTTCTCCACAAAGCTATTGCAAGATTAGAAAGACTCTGTGAAGAACAGTTATTATGTTTAGAACTGCTTCACAAAGCTTATGTAAGTTTAGAAAACTGATTATAACTCAGATTGTGAAGATTGTGAGTACCACAGGATATAAAAGGATAGATTAGAACTTGGTATAATTCACAATACAGGAAATCCAGAGTTCTAAAGATAAGCTTATTTCACGGTTTAGAAAACAGAAGACTTAAACAACTTAGCATTTCTGAAAAGATTAATAGTTGTGTAAAAACAGAAATATAATTAAGCCAACACTTCAGAAAATTGAAAGAAGATATAAACACAGAGATTATAGTGGTTCGGCACTTAACTCGCCTACATCACTCCCATACCATCTTTTCAAAGGCGTAAGAGACACAAACCAACTTTACAAGAAAATAGATCAACACCTAGATCCAACCTTTGTCCCACTAGATTTCTAAAGGTTCTAGTCAACCTCAACCCTTTCTATTTTGCAGAGAACCGAAAACTCACATCAAGACATTAAATCTCACACAATGAGAAGGTTGCTTGATAAATTTTTTACACCATAGCTTTTCACCTAAGCTATTACACAAATATTTTTCGTTTAGAATCCTTTAGCCTACAACAAATTACAAGAATCTATATAGACAGAGAGAAATGCAATTATAAGCACAGGAAGAACCAAACAGATTTTAAAATAGAAGGAAAGTTCAGAACTGTTCTTCAGAAAATGTTATTACCAGATTTCTTTTCTCTTAAAAAATATCTTTTAAAGCAAATAGATGAAAATAAATGAAGGGGGTTGAACAGAGAGCTTTGAGAGATCTGAAACTTTGAACAATTAACTCTTACCCTTATAAAAACCACATTTTTTCAAAAGAGGAAAAACGTTTTTATAAGAGGGATGAATATCCCGTTATAAAAGATGTTGAAGTTTTAGCTTTAATGAGTATTTTGACTTTTTGAAAATAAAAAGATAGAGTATGTGAATCTTTTACAAATACTAAATGATTAAGAGTATGTTGAATCTTTTACAAATACTCGATTATTTTGTTACAAAAAATAATTTTTTGCCAAAATCTTTTTTAGTTAGGTAAATGAAATTGAAAGAGCAAAAAAATTTGAACACTTTTTAAGGTAATTTTTTTAAGGCAATTTTCGAGAATATCTCAAAAATGATTTTGAAAGAAATAAAAGAGATTTTGTGCTTATAAGGGAATATTCTCTCTATCCTACAATATTTCTTAAGATACTAACCCCTAAAAGATCTTCAATAATCTTCATGGTCTTCAAAGAATCTTGGATTATAGAAGCTTGATTTCTTTAGCAACTTCCATATTAAAAATTCGCATAAAATAACTTTAGCATATGCAAAAATAATAAATTTATTTGTTTCACATAATTATCAAAATCTCAAGATAAGATTGACCCTTGAGCCAACAATTTCTAACATTATTTTGGAAACAAACAAAGTTAATGGATTCGAAAAATAGAATCATATGTTTCTCTTAGTAACTTCAATACCATAAAATAGATTTTACTTTTATGTAACTATTTATTGTTACATTTTGTGCTAGCTTTCTATTCTTTTCATATAAATTGTGGAGGGAGAGCAGCTACTATTAATGGAAGCTTATATGAAGACGATATAGATGGAGCTGGACCTTCAAGATTCTATCAAAGTAGAACTAATTGGGCAATTAGCAATACTGGTAATTTCATGGATGATTCCACCAATGCAGATTCCTATATCGCCACAGACACAACAAATCTCTCTGCAGGCACTTCTACGTTATACATGACTGCACGCATTTCTCCAATCTCTCTTACTTATTATGGTTTCTGCATGGGGAATGGGAATTACACAGTTGGCCTCCATTTTGCAGAGATAATGTTTACTAATGATAATACATATAATAGCCTTGGAAGGCGCATTTTTGATATTTACATTCAGGTATGTAGCTTATCAATTTAATATAATGTCTCATTCAGGTATGTAGCTTATCAATTTAATATAATGTCTCGATGGAATAGCAAAGCATTAAGGATGGATAATTAGCCATGGAAGGTACATCTTTGATAAGAAATTTGGTAGCTATTAGTAACTCTATTTATTGGTGGAATATTGCAATTTAGCTACGAACTAATCTAGTTGTCGATTGGCTTGAAGTGTAATTTGGATATAAAATAGTTAATGTCATAGTTATGTTACCTTTGACAGAAAAAGCTTATGCAAAAGGATTTTAACATTGAGGATGAAGCTAGTGGGGCTGGTAAGGCAACTATAAAAAATTATACCACCATTGTTACAAATCAAACATTGGAGATACGCCTTTATTGGAATGGAAAAGGGACAACTAGTATTCCTACTGGAGGAGTTTATGGTCCTCTTATATCTGCCATCTCTATCATTCCAAGTGAGTTAATGACCTCTATAAGCTTTTACTTCTAGTGTAAACCATTATTAAAGTTAGAGGTATAACATTGCTTTTCTTTTTCATGCTTTCTTAAATTGAAAAATCTTTTTAATATTCTTTCCACATGTAGATTTTGTCCCCCCTTCGGAAGGTAGTAGTAGTAGTATTTCTGCAAGCACAGTAGTTGGTATTGTGGTTGTTGTAGTAGCTATCATCTTCCTAGTTCTGTGTGTCCTCTGGTGGAAAGGTTGTCTATGGCATAAAGATATAATAGACCAAGGTATTTCTCATTATTCACTTATTTGTTTATGTTGCTATTTCTGTTGTTTTCCACTTCATTTGAGATTTTTTGAATTGATACGTCAACTTTATACTCCAAGAATTATAAAATTAACTAATACATATTTATTTTACTTGGATGAAATATTATTTATTTATATAAATAATGTTTTTAGTTTTCATGAAAAAAACTCTGAGAAAAATCTATTTCTTTAACAGATTTAAGGGGCCTAGACTTAAAAACAGGTTCGTTTACATTGAGGCAAATAAAAGCTGCTACAAACAACTTTGATCGTGCTAATAAAATTGGAGAAGGTGGTTTTGGTCCTGTTTATAAGGTATCGAGTACAAAGTTACACTTTCAAAATGAAAGACCTCACACTTTGTTTAATGAAACACAACACAAAGTAATTGAATGTATTTTTAATATAAATGTTGCACTACAATTGAATGTATTTTTAATATAAATGTTGCACTACAGATTAATTTAATACAAGTAGATTAAATGTATCCATTATGGCTGACCAAATGTAGTCTTACATGAATGTTCAAATATATCTTCTTTAATGCAGGGCCTTCTTTCAGATGGCACTATAATTGCAGTAAAGCAGCTTTCCTCTAAATCAAAGCAAGGAAATCGCGAATTTGTGAATGAAATTGGCATGATTTCTGCTCTGCAACATCCTCACCTTGTAAAGCTTTACGGATGTTGTATTGAAGGAAATCAATTATTGAAATCAATTATTGCTAGTGTACGAGTTATATGAAAATAACAGCCCCTTGCTCGTGCTTTGTTTGGTAAGTCTAACAAAAATATCCTAACTAAATATTGAATAGTTTATATATAATTATATGATTTCATCCTAACTAAATATGAATAGTTATATATAATTATATATCAACCTCTTTAGGCTTACTTTAAGTATAATGACTTAAAAGGTCCTGAAGAACACCGATTAAATTTAGATTGGCCTACAAGACAGAAGATCTGTGTTGGTATAGCAAGAGGTTTGGCTTTTCTTCATGAAGAATCAAGGTTGAAGATTGTACATAGAGACATAAAGGCCACCAATGTTCTTCTTGATAAGAATTTGAATCCAAAGATATCTGACTTTGGTTTAGCCAAGCTTGATAAAGAAGAAAATACCCATATAAGCACTAGAATTGCTGGAACCTTGTGAGTTTCTATTCACTTCTTGCAATTTTTATTCTCTTTTCTTTTTTCCAACTTTAATTTCAAAGAAGTTAGAAAAAATAGATTTTTTTTTCTACAATATTAAATGTGTAGAATAATTTATTTGATGTATTCTACTTCTTTACCTATAATAACATGAATAATTAAACTTCAATCCCAATTGAATCTGAGAATTTAAGTATTCTTATGCTGGCCATAACTTACTCCCATCCTACTTTTTAACCTAGGCTTAGGATGATCCACTATACTTTCCTAGACTCACACACACGAAGTTGTGTCAATATATTACTTACAATTATATATTACAGAAAACAATATATAACTTACAATAAAATATTATTTATTGTGAAATGAGTTTCTTTTTTTAAAATGTGAAAATGGATATACGAAGATTCTAAATTTAAGTATATGTAAGATATTAAATTTTTATTCAAAAAGGAAGACAAATATAAATGCCTAATATATTATATTATTGATATTGCAGTGGGTATATGGCACCTGAATATGCAATGCGTGGTCATTTAACTGATAAAGCAGATGTTTACAGTTTTGGAATTGTTGCCCAGTTTTGGAATTGTTGCCCTAGAAATTGTTAGTGGAAGAAGCAACACTAGTAATCGGCACAATATGAAGAAGGATGACTTTTATCTTCTTGATTGGGTAAGAAAATCTCTTGTTTTCTTGCCAATTTTTCCCAAGAAAATTTCTTTCCTACACCTAATATATAGGTGGTCCCATAAACCAAGCCAATCAAACAAAGGTTTTTTTTTTTTAAAATGTTATTTTTTTTATCCATTTTTCTAAGTGTGTGACCATACAAGGTATGTATAGATAAGTATTTTCCTTTGAATTTAAATATTTTTTATTAGCTTAATGTATGGATGGGTTCACACTAGGAGTAGTAATGATTTGCAAAGGATTGAAATCCAAGGAATTAGTTATTCATTCAATTAAAAGGAAAATGAATATTATGCCTATATTCGTAATTAAGCACAGAGGATTTTCTCAACTATATATTGGACTGAGTATAGTTTAGTAAATCCAACCAAAATGAATTGGTTAAGCTTGATAATTGATTCAAATTTGGTTTTTGTAAAAAACAATTCAATTTAGTTTGCTTTTATTACACCCTAAAAAAAGCTCAAATACATACTAAAATAACTTAAAACCAAACCAAATTGATAGAGCCAATTTAATTCAATTAGATTTTGATTCTAGATATAATTTGTTTGGCTCGATTTTCCTCTTAAAAATTTCAGTTTATTTAATTTGTACTAATTGGGTTTTGATTTAAGCCAAATCGACTGAATGCTTATCCCTAACTATATATCTTTGTATAATTTTTCTTAGGCATGTGTTTTAAAAGAGAAAGGGAGTTTATTAGAGCTAGTAGATCCAAGACTAAGCAAAGACTACAATAAAGAACAGGTTGAGACAGTAATCCGTGTGGCTCTTTTATGTACTAATGTCTCTCCAGCAGTTAGGCCTGCTATGTCTTCAGTTGTGAGCATACTTGAAGGAAAAGCTTCAGTTCAAAAGAACAGGTTGAGACAGTAATCCGTGTGGCTCTTTTATGTACTAATGTCTCTCCAGCAGTTAGGCCTGCTATGTCTTCAGTTGTGAGCATACTTGAAGGAAAAGCTTTAGTTCAAGACTCCAAATTGGATTCAAGTGTTTTAAATGACGATTTCATGGTTGAAGCAATGAGAAAACATTTTCAGCAAATCAGTGGACAAAATACAATCGATAGCCAAACTCAAAGTATACAATTGGAGGGCCCTTGGACTGCATCTTCTACATCTGCTAAGGATCTTTATCCGGTATCTTTAGGTTCTGAATACTGGGAAAATAGAAATTTGATAAATAATTAAATGTATCAATTGCATGTTTTTAACTGTAATTGTAATAAACTGTAATTGTAATAAAAGGACGTTTGAATATCTTGAATATATGAGAAATCATAATTGGTTTCACAAAGTTAGACATTGTTTCATCTTAAAAAAGTTATTGGTTTTATTTTTATTTTGATCTAGGAGAATTGTTGACCTGCACTTCATTTGTTTTCATGCAATAAATTCCATATGAAAGAATATTCTTTGAAGAAAATTTGTATGATATGATTGAAGAATATGGACTTACATGTGTTGGAGGAGCCATCTTCTTTATTTCAAGGGTTTTTTATTGTTGATTTAGTTAGGAACATATTGCCTAGAGTAGTTAGTTTCTTGGTTCTGAAGACATCCTTTGCATGGAAAAGAAAAAAAAATGATATTGTTAATGCTAGTCCAAAACTTGAAAGCCGACACACTTAGAGAGCCAAAAGTGAGGCCTAAAACTGATATGGCCTTATAAGAAATTATTCAGCCTGATTACATTCCCGACCAAATATATTATATGTATATTTTGTATATATTTTTGCTACTTATTAATTTCGTGAATAGCTAATTTGTTGCATTATTACACATACATGAGTATATGTAGGGTTAGATTATGCATAATACAAATAGGTATCTAGGGTTAGATTATGCATAATACAAATAGGATTGTAAATATTGTTTAGTAAAAACATGAATCAAATATAAAAACCCTTTTTATCTTTTGTTTTCTCTCATGTCTCTCAATTTCTTTATATTATTTATCAATCTCTTTTTCACCTTAGACTCTTCGTGTCTTCTCAGGATTAATTAGATTTTGTCTATATATCAAAAAATTTTGATGATGGCTCATTGAAACCTATATATTTGCACGGGCCAACTTTAGACATTGAGAAGCTAGTTTGATGATTTCTTATATCTCTTGATTGCATATTATATTGCCTAATATCTTTTGGGGTGAACAATATCTTGAATACTTGGTGGGACCACACCAAATTAGTGAAGACCATTATTTAAAATGGTTAAAAATGACAAAAACATCAATGATCCTAAGGACCTCGAGAAGACTCTATATAAGCTAAATATTCATAACACCTCAAGGAATGAAAATGTTTTGACATCTTAGTTGATAATCAATCCCATGCTATATAGAGCAAACCTCAAGAACATCTGCTCTTAGATGGTAGAAGAGAATCATATTGTGGTTTCTAGTATGGTTGATTTGATTGCTATGACCATAAGATATTTCATCCTCAATAACCAATAAACATAGAAGGATTTCTAAGTGGAAATGAAGGAACTTCCTATGTTTTGGCTAAGTAGAATCACACTCTGAGGATAGCTCAGCCAAAATCATTAAATGAATAAGGGGTGTTGGACCAACAACAACCTCCTAGCATAACCGTACATAAAACACAACTCTCTAATTAGCAACAGGGTATATGATACAATAGGCAATGTTGTGCCCTTAAGGATAGTTGGACAATCAAGATAGGATACAAATTCCAACTTTTAATAGCAAGAGACATGCACAGAGTACGATTTAACCATTTACTTGCTACTTTAACAAAGTTAGGGTTTGAATTTCAAATGACAATTTGACTAACATACAAAAGGCCATATGGGATGTTAAGTTTTACCTATTTTGAAGAATAATCTTAAATTCACATTATTTTGAGGATAAGATATCAACTCCACAATTGAACATGTATTGAGATTCATCCCACACTGTAGAGAATGTAAAGCGAATGATTACTGAAAACTTGGGTTGTTAATTTGGTAATCCTTTAACAAAGTCAACCTTTACTTTGAATTATCTTATCTCAAAAAATGCTTCCACTAAAGGTTAGCGAATGTTGTAGAGATAAGATATGAGATGGGTGATAATCTCATTCTCAAAGAGAAAAGGAAAGTGTAAGAGAGATGTCATCCTCATTATCTTCTTCTTCTTCACCGTTTAACAACATAATTTCCATTGATAAAAGTGATTATCAACCAATTGTGATTATCAACCAATTGTCGACGGACATCCATTTCTCAATAAATCCATGATAAGTAAACTTTTACTGACCGAATAATTTGTCATCAGTAAATTGGTTATAAATGGAATCCAATAGTTGTTGGAATTCCATTGGTAAAACTTTTGTTAGTATTTTGTAGTGGTTTCGTTGTCATATCTGTTGGCATTTTGTTGCCATATTTTTAATTTAATTGTTTTTCATCAGGAAAGTCTAGGTGAATGATTAGTAAAGTTTAAAATAAAATTACTAAAAAGTCAGTGTCATCTGTAAAGTATGGATAATCTATCTGTATAATTTAAATTAGTGATCTGTCGGTAAAATTTAAAGCAAATCAAATATTTTTGTTTAATTTTGTTCTTTTATTTTGTTTAATTTTGTTCTTTTTCCCAAAAATCAAGACCTATTAAAAATAACACAATATATTTTCAATTCAGGCAATATCTAAAATCCCATACATTGCAAACAAAATGCATAATTCATGAAAACAACTTATTAAATAGTAATTCACTAAATAAAATTATTAGTGCAAAAATCAAAGTTTTAAACAAAATTAATATACTTGCCATGAAAGAATATTAAGATATAATAAAGTTATAATGATCTACTAATCTACATGGATGTCATTATCATGGCCGAACTTAGTGATCCTGCCTCTATCAGTAGCATAGTCAGCATCGAAAACAACTTTTGCAGCAATTGAGGGAGAAATCTAATATACAACTTTTGCAGCACTTGAGGGAGAAATCTAATATGAAGATGGAGGAGCAGAGTGTGGTAGCGACATTATATATAGGGTCGGACGGTCTGGTAGTCTGGACGATATGGAAGGTACTAATATTTTATGGATCTCTACAATCACATATGATCGCTCCATAACTCTATGCTCAAGGCCTAATGTTGCAAGACTAGATTTTTCAGCATCACTTTGGATGACCCTATAGGCAACATGGCACTATGTGAGGTTGGTTCAAACTATGACCCAAAGGAAATGAATTCCTAGAACCCCTAATCGAGTGGATCGGTTCAAAGATTAAGATGAATCCCCCTCTATGGCACCCCACATTCCCACATTTCTAACAGAAACGGAAACACCAAAATAATCGAGTTAAGAACAAGATAAATGCCCACAATGAGTTGGATAAAGTTTACCTAATTTCTCTTCTGATACAATTAGAGGATAGCAAATTCTCACTATCACTCTCAATTAAGAAGAACATGAACATGCAAGAGCATGAACAATCTGTCTTTGATTCCAAAATGCCAAAAACCGTTTTACATCTTAAGGAGGCTATTTATATGCCTCAAACAAACCTAACACTAAAGAACAGTATCTAATTAGGCTGCCCTAAGGCCAAAACACATGGGCCTAACTAGTACACACAAAATAGAATCATTTCCAGCCCAAAATAGACAACTTAATATTGGGTAGATTGCATGCATCATAAAATCAGCCCAAAACAACTTAAATAGACACTATGAGCCCATATCCCTTACATATTAATTAGACCAAAACAAGCAACAAGGGATAAGACCACGTCCAAGCCCACATCCCTTACATATTAGCATGGGCTAGGGTGTGCTACCACCAACAGCACATGTCTTCCAAAACATTGTAAGAAAGCCTAGGTTTGTGCTTTCAAAAGTTCCACACTATGCTTGTTAAATTGCCACATCACTTGAAGATCTTGTGTAATTTTGGGCCATTGAACATATAATGGATATGCGCTTGCCCCATGTCTGCTTTGCTTGAACTTCTTGTTAATTTGGCCCCCTTAGGGAAACACCCAATGCAATCTCCCATGTTGTTCTTCCCTTGGCTCCCTTGAGGCTCCATTGTTGAGTGGATGGTTGATCCATATTCATTTCCCCCTTCCTCAAAAAAAGATTTGTTGTGCGTCCTCAAACTGCCATCCCATCGTTAAAAGGAGACAATATCACTAACATTGAAAGTTGGGCAGAAAACTACCAACTCACAGAAGTCAATCTGGTAAGCATTATCATGACCCGCCATAAAAATGGGGGACCACCCACGTGCATCAAAGCTTAGTTCTTCGTTGATTTGGGGAAAATCTCCTCCTTTTCGGAAAAGTGGTTTCCAAAACCCAAACTCCAGGCGGCAAAAACAACCAGCTTCTTCCTTCCCCTGATTCGCTCTGTTCGGGCAATATTGTTTGTTCCCTTTTCTTATATTTGCTCTAAGCCCTTTTCATGTAAGGGACTTTCACCAATCTGTGCCTTTTTTAGCACCATCTTAAACTAGAAAGCTCATGTAAAAGGTAAAGAAGTTAAGATCCAAAACAAGTTATGGGTTAAAATACCATTAAACAAGTTCAAATGGAGTAAAACCTGAAGTAGTAAGAATGTATTGTGGCTTACAGTTATAGCAAAACTCAACGAAATGGGCAAACAATCTCCCAAGATTTTTAAATTTCCTACCCACAATAGCACGAAGTAAAGTTCCCTTAAAGTCCTATTCACAACTTCAGTTTGGTCCATCTGTTTGTGGATGACACGTAGTAGAATAAAAGTAAACTCTGTACCAAAGGTTACCCCACAAAAAAAACCTCCAAAAATTGTGAAAGGAAATTTAGCCATCCCTGTCAAGGACGGATAGTCTTATGGCAACCCCATTGGCAACCGTTACCACCTCTCTAAAAAGAATAAATCAGGCAACATTTAATTGGGCATCATCAGTTTTATGAAAGGAATGAAAATTGAGCCATTTTTACTGAACTCTATCAACCAACTATAAAGATGCTTATCTCTACCACGCTAGGGTCCTAGGTAAAACCAAGTACAAATCCATAAAGAAGATATCAAAAACCCAAGCGTTGAACTAGGAAAAGACATATTACAATCCATAGGCATAGCGACTTAGATTTGGGCCTGTTTTGAGGCATAGACTTAGATTTGGCCTGTTTACAAGCAATGCAAGAATCAAAAACCTTCTCTACATCTTTACGCATATGAGGCCAATAAAAATGTTTGTTCAGCATGTCATAAGTCTTATGTACCCCAAAATGCCCCATCAATCCCCTACAATGAGATTCAAGTACAAGCAAGTTACGCATAGAGCATTTTGGCACACAAAGTTTGCTACCCCTAAACAAATATCTATCATGTCTATAAAATTTATCAAATGCTCCATGCTCGCAT